TTTTTCTGTTGGTGTTGGGAGAATGGCAGCCTACTTCCGTGTTCGTACACTACCACTTGAGTTATGCTGACTGACCTTGTTAGTGAAGGTGTGGCAGAAACACCTGGGAAATACCAACTTCAGCTGTGGGCTCTCTCTGTGGACATGTGCCTCCTGCTGTTCCTGAAGCCTCTGCATTCAGATCTGTCCTGCCTGACTAGGTGCAGAGCAGGACTGGAAGCATTATTCAAAGATTAACACCCCAGTGAGCGTCCACTGTGTTTCTCGTCCTCTCTTGCTCCTTCCCATAGCATTTATTGAGTGAAACTTCTGTGCTAGGTCCTGGCGATACCACGATGGGAAAGAAATACTCAGAAACAGTGGATGGGGGATGAGGGGAGGGCAGAGTGGAAAATGAGACGAGCAGCACAGGGATGCTGTGTGAACAAGAGGAGGAGTGGAGGAGCCAGGAAATGTGGTTTCTGCTCTGTGGGGTTTGCAAAGAATCCCGAAGATGGCATACTAACACTTTGTGCATTTTAGTTAGCAACATGTTGGGAAATGTTAATCTAAGATAGAAGCAAAAATAACAAGATGTCCTCTTTTGGGGATAGATTAGGTAGGGAGAGTACTAGATGGTTTCTAAAGGTGCCTCCCAATCTTATGAGTCAGCCCAATATGATGCACTGATACTTCAGTTTTAAGAATTTATTTATACAAAATGCTAATAGAAATTGAATTCAGAATCGAAAGTATTAGTATCATTAAATTTTTTCTTTTGGAACAGACAATGTAGCAAGATAAAAAAATGTCTAGGATAGAAGTCTTACTTGGCTCTCTTCCTTTGTTTGTAGGAAGATGACTGTTCTTGTGAGTCAAGCAAGGAGAAGAGGAGAGTGAAAAAAAAAGTGTCTTCTGGGGGAGTTTTTGTGAGAAGGTACTAATCACTGAAATAACTTTAAATAAACTTGATTTTTCTCTTTTATTTAAAAAATTGTAAGTGTTAATTTATATAAACTCTTCTCAGAATTACTCTGATATACTATCCAATTCTGAAGGCAGAAATATGTTACATAACATCAAAGGGATTGTGAAAATTTCATGGACTGAGTTGTACTCCTCTCCCAATATATTCTTATATATTTATGTAGCTACGTCAAGATTCTAGATTTATGAGTATTAATTTTGCAAATATTCACATAAGCTTTAAAATATATGGTATAGTCTAGTAATCAAAAGAAATCCAATTCTAGATATTAAAAATTATTCTAGAAATTAAAAATTATTAAAAATTGTATTATGTCTTCATAATAGAATTGTAAAATTTCTTTTACTTTCTAAGAGTACCATTTATTCCTACTAGTGTAGATATAGGTTTGTTTGTTTTTTTAACTTTCAAATGATATGACTTTTAAAAAGCATCTGGACTTGGGAGAAAATGGAACATAAGACCAGTAAGTTTTAGAAAAGGACAACTTTACAATAACCGCCAAATATCTCACTCAGGAGAGTTGCTTTTAAAAGGAAAAAAAAATATTATAATGTGTGCTGCAAATACCCATTTAAATAATCTGCTTAAGAATTCAACCGTTGTTCTGTCTTGCAAGTTCTATAAGGTATAAAGACATTGGACAGAACAAAAAAATACGTGGTTTTATTATTGTTTCTTCCTTTTTTCCCCTTGACTTCACTGACCAAAAACTAACCGTGTCATTTCCTTTCAGTTCTGACTTCAGTTCCTCACTTTTCCTACCCATCCCCCTCCTCCTTGACCTGGCAAAGACTTGTCACTCTCTTGGGGCAGTTGTCTAGATCCTGCCTCCCTCTGAAGAGCTGATGGCTGGCTTTGGGCTTCACTGGCAGAAGCCTTCTTGCCCTACACCAGACTGCCCACCCTCTAGGCCCTGCATGTACCTTACACGGATGCGAAAGGCCATTTTGACCCACTATTATCAGAACCAGCTTGCTCTGACATGAGGGCATGTGATTGCTAAGACCAGTACAGGTTGGTTAAGGGTCTATAAGCAAGTGTTAAAATCCTTTTGATAACCTTTCTAGTTATAATTGTTAGTTTCTCTGTGGTTTCCAATAGGCCTTCATGCTGTAGTAATAATGCTAGTTGTCAACATTAATTGGACACTCACTACACGTGAGATCTGTGCCAAGTCCTTGACAGATAGTCTCTCAATTCTCACAGCAGCTCTATGTGATCCATGTTATACATGGAGAGTAAATAATTTGCCCAGAATCACAGAGCAATGTGAAGTCAGGATTCTAATCTTAACAGGAAAGTTCAAAGTCTGTACTCTTATCCACGACTGGAATTCCCAAGTCCAAAGTTTCCTTCCTTCTGGGACCCATGGCCTGTTTCCTTATAGTCCGGTGACCCTCATGTTAATCCCGATCCTGGAAATTGTTTGTTTGTGATACTTGCTCCAGTTTCTCAAGGCCGTGTCTCTAGTCTCTCTGTACCAGTGAGGCAGGAAATACCAGAGGAGTGTTGTAATAGAAGNATCCCTTTAGAATTTCCTGACAGCTTTATTTTAAATAGCTGTATTGAGATATAATTCACATATTATTTACCCATTTAAAGTGTACATTTTAATGGTTTTTAATATATTCACAGATTTATGCAAACATTACCACAGTTAATTTTGTAACATTTCCATCACCCCAAAAAGAAACCTCACAATTAGTAGTCACTCCCCATTACCCCTACCCTTTCTTCCTTCCCCACCACATCCCATCTCTAGGAACTGCTAATTTACTCTATTGTATGTGCTTGGATTACTTTTTGTTGGTTGCATACCGAGTTAGCAAGGACTTAGAACTGCAGAAAATGAGCAGTTGATTTGTAGAATTTCAGTTTCTTCTGAAATTATTTAAGTAAGAGATACCTCTGAGGAGGATCATTGCCCATGAATCACAATTTCTAGAAGCTATTTCAGGAAGGACTAAGAACGTGACTAGAACAGTTTTCTACTGTGGTGTGTTTGATACAAATGTGCTGTTACACCTTTGCCATACAATGTGGCTCACTGGTGCCCAGTTGGGGTGCTATATATGAAGTCATGTGCTATTTTCTTGTCCCTATTTAATTTTATTCCAGGCAAAACCCAAAGGACTAGATGACCTCTTCTTGGGACACTAGGTCTTGTCAGAGCATCTTACCAGGACTGGTTGGATTACTTGTTGTCCCAGACTTCCTGGAACTGAGTCTCAATTCAGAACATTTTTTAGTGAATTAAGTTTAGGACCATGGTATCATAGCACCCTGTAATCTTTTGAGGTTTGACCCCTGGCTCAACATTCCTGACACATGTCATCCAGCATCCACTTAATCATCTTTAGTGACAAGACACTCACTCTTGCCCAGGGGGCCCATTTCCATCTTTTGATAAGGTTCTTGTGAGGAGTAAAATGTATAAGCACTTAGTGTAGTGTCTTGCACATCGTAGGGACTCCACAAATACATAATAGCTCTTACTGTTTTTGTTGAAATGTTTCTCCTTTGTTGAGTTAAAAATCTCTCTTCCTAGAACTAATCTCAGTTAATCCTGGTTCTTAACCCCTGATGACCCCATAACACAGCTCTTTCAAAACATAACCTTCAAGTAATAAAGAGTTACTATATAAGCTAAATAGCCAGTTCTTTTGATCATTTCTTTTATGTAACTTTTTTTTAAATCCCCTCTACTTGCTTGCTAGTCATTCTAGTGGCTCTCAAACCCATCTGCCCATCAGAATTGCCTAAGGAGTTTTCGCCAAGCACTGATACCTGAAGTTGTAGGTCTGGTATGGGGCTCAACCATCTACATTTTGAGAAGGCACCCTCGTTGATTCTGATGTGTGCAGTTTGAACCTGCAGCTCTAAACTACTGAAAGCTAAAGCCGAGTGGTGGTAGGGAGTAGAGGCTGCAATTTGCTGACCTGGTCCCGTAAAGCAGGATTTCTCAGCTTCACTCTAAACAATTTGAGCCACATATTTATTTGTTGAAGAGGGCTCTCCTGTGTATTTTAAGATGTTTAGTAGCATCTTGTGCCTGGGGGTGCCAACAGCCTGTTCTACACCCACCAAGTTGACAAGCAAAAGTGTATCCAGTTGTTGTCAAATATCCCTTGGGGAGAAAACACCCCAGGTTGAGAAGCACTACCACAAAAGATAGAAAAATCATAGGCTGGATAGTGGAGAATAGCTAAAAGAAGCTCTCAACAACTTCTCTCAGTAACCTCTTACATAGATATTGCAAGTGACTAATAAAATTTGGGGACTGGGTTAGTCTGTGTTTATTTAACATAAATCCAGCATATTTCAGGTTTTCCAATTTTCTGACATACAGATCCTGCATGGTCTTGTAATATACACTAGTCCTAAAACACTGCAAGTCTTCTTTAAACCTTGTTCATAGTATTAATAGTCACGACTATCTGCGACATCCTGCAATAGCAGGAAAGGAATCCTCCATTGAGGGTTTTCATTGCTTATCCATCCTAATATTCTGTTACTGATAATTATCCTTCTGTGTGTCTGCCGCTCTCCCTCTCTCCCCTTCCCCAAACCACATAGACACTGGCTCTAGAGGAAGAATATGCTCCAGGACCAGCATCCTGTGAGCACAGGAGCTGTCATCTGTCTAAACTACATTCCTGTTCAACTCTGTCTTGCAGTGAGAGCTTATAAGAAAATTGTAGAATTGAGACACCTCCTGGAAATTGCTGAGAGCAACTATAAACACTTGGGAGGGATAACAGAAGAAGATCTCAAGCAGAAGAAAGAACAACTCGAGTCTGAAAAGTAATGTCCTCAAACTTTAATGGTTTGTTTTTTATTATCTCTCTAAATGCCATATGAGGGTTTGTTGACCAGCAACTTGGTTTTTTATCCCCATCAAAGGGTTTAAGATCCTATCCTGTTTTCTTCCTAAGCCCCCGGATGGAGAAAGTGTTAAGATTTCTTTTTATTGTGGGAAAATGCACCTAACATAAAAATGTATCATCTTAACTGTTTTTAAGTGTACAATTCAGTAGTGTTAACTACCTTCATATTTTTGCACAGCCGTTCTTCAGAACTCTTTCATCTTGCCACACCGAAACTCTATAAGGAGTTAAGATTTTGTTTTTCAGACCACAGCTACTTTGAGCTTTTCAACCAACACAATCTCTAACCATCCTTATCAAACTGGGCTGCTTACTAACGAATCTGAGACCCAGTCCTGTGCTCACCGACTGTGATTCCCCAGCAGAGAATGCTCCCATGTCCAGAGGCAGTGAGCAGTTGCCTCCTTTCCTGTCTGTACCCTACATTGGCTCTCTGCACATTTGGTGCCTCTCTAATTAATTAATGGCTGCTGGAATAGAGGATGCCTAGTGCTTAATTATTTTCTCCCATGGCCTCTCTGCTTTTCTGTTTCAGGGTGGACAGGGAACAAAGGGAGACAGGAAAGGAGACTTAGTGTAATCAAAACTTGNCTACCTGGGCCTTGCTTCTTTCACTCCGCTTCACTTGGGGCAGGTTGGACATGGGGAGGGAGAGTGATGAGTGTTAAGGAGCTTCCTTCACATGAGGAAAGAAGTACGCCCTCTCAATATTTTAGCATATTTTAAATTTAAACCAATTTATTTGTTTACTGTCTTCTCCACTAAGGTGTCAGTTCCATGAGAACGAAACCATGTCACCATTGTGCATGTTGTCTGGCACTTAGCAGACATTCTGATTTATCCAGTCAACAAATGCATTGTAGAGTTTGTTACAATGGAACCTTTTGGTCCTTATTTATGAATCCAATAAAAATTTATCCACAATGTGCCAAGAACTTTGTTAGGCAAGAGGACTGAGATAGAAATGAATCAGTATGTAACAGGATGTTAAAATAGTTTTGTTTTGAAAACAACCCTGCAGTTAGATCTTTGAAGAAAATTTAGTTGGAAAGTCTGATTCTTACTCACTGGACCATATAGGGCCAGTCTTTGACTGCTCTAGTCTTCAGATTCCCTATTTATAACTAAACAAATGATGATGGGGTTATTTTTAATATATTGTATAATAACGGATTATCAAACTTATAAAGCTATTGCCAAGGCATTATGAAATCTTTTGAAATGTTTATTATTTCCTGGCCTTGGCTTTTTAATCTGGATAAAACTGAATGTCAGAGTTGAAAATAGTATTTTTATTTTCCTTGAAATTACATGTATACTCTTAATAGATACTATTATACAAGGAAAAATATATAGATAGACCCAATAACAATAAAACAAAAGTATGCATTTCCCCATGATTTTCTTGAGAGTAGGAATTATATATCAATAGATGTTTGCTGAATTTAAGTGTCATAAGAAAAAGCATNGATACCAAGTTTTGGTCAATAGAGTGTGAGCAAAAATGATGTGTGTAACCTCAGGGCCATACCCCAAAGGGCAAGCGTTTGCCCACCTAGTGCCCCTTTCTTCTCCTGGATGTGGCTGTGGTGGTGAGTCACTGGACCTTGTGAATGAGGGCACACCATCCCAATAAGATAAGTAGGAACCTGGTCCCCAGCACTTAGAGCTGACGTATTAGCCCTGGAATGCTTACACTTGGACTGTAGGTAAGAGAGAAATAAACCTCTATATTGTTTAAGCCACTGCAATTTTGTGTTTTATGATAGCAGCTAAATCTAAATTGTAATACAACCCCCAAATTATATGTATTTAATTATAAAATCATATATATGTATTACCGTCATGTTCTGTGTGGTGTTTTCCAACACTAACAACCAAGTATCTGACTTTTCCAGACACCAGCTGGGTGTTCAACAATTCAATTCTGACACTAACTGCAGAGTTAGTGTCAGACTCCACAGTCTCTCAAAAGTGGTTGTCACTGATACTTCTGACTGATCGGCTGGACATTTGGGGGTTCCCGTAACACCCTCTTCAGGTTGAGTAATTTCCTAGAATGACTCAGAGCTCAGGAAAATACTTTCCTTATTATTACCAGTTTATTTAAAAAGGATACATCTCAGGAACAGCCAAATGGAAGAGATGCATAGGGCAAAGTATGCAGTGAGAGGCGTGTGGAGATTCCATGCCCCCTCTGGGTGTGCTACCCTCCCAGCACCTCGATGTATTCATGGGTTGGCCATTGGTGATTGAACTCAACCTCCAGCTCCTCTCCTTTCCTTTCCCCTCCCTGGAGGTTGAGCTGGGGGTGGTGGAGATTGAAAATTTCAACTCTCTGATCAATGTCTTTCTAGCAACCAGTCCCCATTCTGAAGCTATGTAGAGGCTCCCAGCCACCAGTCATCTCAGCATACAAGACATTCTTATCACTCCAGAGATTCCAAGGAATTTAGGAGCTGTGTGCCAGGAACTGGGGAGAAAGACCAAAGATGTATTTATTGTGCTACATTATATTAATGAAACACAAAAATAGAAGTGAAATAGATGTTATAAAGAGATAAGTAGAAATTCTAGTATTTTCCCCTCATGCCTCAGGAGATCATTTGTCCATCTCTTGAGATAGAGGACTCAACTTGGAGATTACTAGGGTGTGGAGTAAGAACAGGAGATTTGGAGTTAAAGTCTGTGTCTCTTATCTATGGTGTGACCTTGACAAGTTACTTAACTTTGATTAGCTTGTTTCTTCAGCTGTAAAATGAGGATGCCACCTGCCTAAGAGGACTGCTGGTGAAAAATAGGTGAGTTGATATATATTTTTTGGCATATTCATTGTTGTATAGTCAATAGTAGGTAGGTATCCCAAAAAATGACCATCACTGATTTCAGTGTTGATGACCCATAGCCTTTTCCACTGCCTCATTTTTTTTGTATTAAAAAATATTTAAAACTTTTAAATATTTAAAACTTAAGGTGTTACATATCTAAATTCTTAAAGATTGACAAGAATAGGCATTAGAAGTTTTGTTTTTCAAATATGGTGAAGGGTTTCTACTGACTCTTGACTAGTCCTTACATAATCTAGTTTGTACCATAAACAAGGTGAAGATAACCAATGGAAGATAACTCATCCTCTTAGAGACTTACCACATACAAAAAACACCAAACAGTTTAGTGTTCTCAGAAACTATAAATGAAATGTTCTCAGCACACCCATAATAAAATATTTAAAATACTTAAAAGTTTGGATTAAGGTCAATTAAACTCTGTTCATATCATTTATTTCACAGGCATTTAACAAATACCTCATATATATTAGGTTGTCGGAAAAGTCATGACGTATTTTGTCTATGTTTTACAAAGGTCATTTATTTATATAAAGAACAAAGATCAATCAATGATATAGTGCCCATTTTGTTCGATAACCTTTGCCATCTTTCANCATTAGCTGTTGTACTGTTATTTCCTAGAAAACAAAACAATAAAATAGCCTCGTGATCTATGGAATGCCATCCCTTTACATGGAATTCTTTTCATGAAACTTAAGAGTTTCTTATGCTACAAGATATAGTTGCATGGCTAAATAAAAAACAGAACAAAACATATGAAACCTATATATCTGAAATATCAAAATGAAAAGGAACAGGACATTCAAGGAAGAAAAAGTCTTTCCCAGTCAGGAGAAATAAAATGTCTAGAAATATTTATGAAAGAATCTCAATATAATGAATTATTTAACATCTAAGAGCTCCTAAACAAATACTTTTTTTTTTTAATGCCTACATGGAAAGGGTCTTGTTATCTTTGATTGCTTTAATTTTGAGGGATTTCCTACCATTGGAAAATTCTAGGGTACTGGGTAAGACTCAGAAGTCAGGTAGTAAAACAAAATAGGTGAAAGTATGGTTTAAATAACTACCCTTGTCAGCATAAAATAATTAGTGTTGTTTAAATTTCTGGGTATCTTTCCTATGTGAAAGAAAAGATGGCCCCACCTGATATATAAGCTTTTGCTTATATAGGGAGGAACATTTTTGTAGAAATGATTTAAGGCAGCCTTACAAAAAAATATAACTTTTAACACTAAACTTCTTACAATCAGGTAGCTTGTTGACTCCTCTTTTATCCCCCTTTCCTCCTACCAAAAGAAAAAGCAGATGAGGATGTGACCTTGAAAAGGACCCTCTATAACAGTTTATATACAAAACAAAAAAGGCCAAACAAGAACATGATCACTAGTGGAAATCCCATTTTCTGTCACAATTTGTGGTCAGGAATGTGTTGTTGGGGTTACTGTCCAATATGAGTGAGAAAGGCTATTTCAAAACTGACGACTTTTAGAAAATAGTTCCAGATGCATGACAAAGAAATGACTCAGTCTTCCAAGGGTCTGGAAAGCACAATCTTTTCCAGTAACTCAGATGGCAATTACATAAAGTAGAGGTTAAAAATGTGAATTCTGGAGTCAGGCTGCCTGAATTTGAATCCAAATGCTACCATTTAACTGTGAGACTTTGGGCAAGTTATTTAACTTCTGTGACCTCATTAGTAAAATGAAAATAATTAACAGTATTACACTTTATAGAGTTGTTTTGAGAATTAAATGAGATTCTGCACATAAAATGCTTAAAATAACACTTGGCACACGGTTAGCACTCAATGAATGTTGCCTGTTATTAATATTACCAGAGACAGAGCTAATGGCTGGAGCTGGACAGTGTGACTGCAGTGTTTTGATGTGGAGAAGTTTTGCCTTAAATATTACTACTATCATAAAAAAGGATTTTTTACTATGTATAATAGATATCTCTGAGTCTTATGCCTTCCCTAACCTTCATCTATATTATTGGGTACAGGTTCATTTTATTTTATGCAGTTGTGCTTGAAATATTCATGAGAATTAGTTCAGAAGTCATATATAAGTGGCTCTATAGGTTGTCAGTCCTGTTCCCCCAAAATGTCATTATGAAGGGGTTCCAAGCCATTTAAATATGTTATCTTTACTTAAATCTTTAATAAAATGTTATTACTGAGACTACATAAAGAATAGTTAAAAATTTAATTACAGATTTCTTGTGGAGTCTGAGAATAAGAAATTGTACTATGACCCCTAATAGCCTCTTTATAATCTCCATTTCCTCCTTTAAATACAGGTTGTGACTCAAAAGGCCTACAGAACACCACAGGTGTCCATTAAGTAGTCAAATCTATTAAAAGTATAACCACTAAAACTATTGNAAACAGTTTCTAGCTATATGGCAAGTCACTTTTAAAAATCCAAACAACTTTGTTATTTGTATATGAAAAGGTAGTTGTGCAATAGTTAGTTGTCAGGAGAGCTGACTACAGTAACAAAGTATGTAGGCAGCAGTTACCAAAGAAATCCTATATGATTTACACAGTTGTTCAGGCCAACCAAGAAAACTCTGGTTCAGTTTCTATGCACTACTGAAAAGATAAAGACACAATCAGGTTTTGAATGGCAGCTTTTCAACATAATAAAGACACATTAACAGACAAAATACATCTTCTCATTCTAAAACATTTCTTTTTAGTCTATATGTACTTTAAATAATCTTGTTGTGTTAAGTTTTGCTGCAACTTTCAATGTTCAGAGTAAATCTATCCTGGTGAAGGTTCTAAGGAGTTGACAGCAGCAGCAGTAGGAGCATAATATAGTCGTTTCACTGCTATTTCCAGATTCTATAAAATCCCAACGCTATTGCCAGGCAAGTAAACACTGAGGCTGTGAACACAGAAGAAACCATGTTACAGGTCATGCATTTATGATTATTTTGCAAAGAGAAACAGAATAATGTCATCTTCAATTTAAATGAAGAGCAAAATACAAAGGAAATCCCATCAATTTGCTACCTTAGGTTTTCTATTCCCTAGAAAATTAAAGATAAAGGATATCCTTTAGGGCAGGATTAATACCAATTCTTAAAAGCTTCCTATACTTTAAACCAGATAAGGATAACAATTTTAAAATGTAGGTCATATGTCACTTAGAATCTATAGTATTTAAAGTCATTATTAACATTAACATTATTAACAGTGGTTAAACTTTAAATAATTATGAACTCTAATTTCGCATCTTATAAGCGAAAAAGCGCCTTACCTATATTAACAAATTCTATAGTTAAGCTAGTAAAATAGACATATCATCCATGAGAAAAAAATTTTTGCCTTTTCAATATATTTAAAAAGAATTTTTCTCATAACTTAAACACCTGTAAATAAAACATGAAATTTTAATGAAGACCCTTTAAAAAAATCTCTGAGTTAGAAGAAAAGGTGTAATAACAAGCCTCACGCTTCTTTAACAGTTAATATACCACCACATAAGGAAGCAGGACATTTGAGGAGAAAGAAGACTGAGTTTCTTGTCTCGGTCAGTCATACATTCTCCCGGTTGATCATGCTATTGACCATGTTCCAGGCAGTGTGCTGAGCAATTACATACATTACCTACTTAATAACCATAATTAAAACCCTGTGAGGTTGGTGATATTATTCCCACTGTAAGACAATAAGCCCAAAGTTACATTGCTACAAGTGGTAGAACCAGGACTCAACATTACATGTACACTGACTCCAAAGTTGTTGTTTTTAAAACCCATTCTGTTATCCTTATTTATCCTGTCACCTGAAGGACTCAATCTGTCCTTTTTTGAGCCACATAGTACTATCTATGTGGCTATATTCTTCACTAACCCAGATAGCTGATTGTCTTAGATTACTATGCGCACTTATTTTACTGTGAGGGAGGAATTCCATTCCTTTATTAGGATACTCAAGACAATAGTTAGTGTATTTAAGTTTCTCTCTAATTTTTTTTTTTTTTAGCTGAGTCATCCTGCCACCTGTTGGCAGCTCAGCTCGGGCCGTGACTCGAACCGGCGACCCTGTTGCTCAGAGCTCGCACTCTTGAGCGAGCTGTTAACCAACTGAGCCACTCGGCTGGCCCTGTCATTTCTGTTGTTAGCTGTTACTTCCAATTGCTGTCATTGTGCCACCCCAAATTGCTTTCAAATTTCTTTATTTTCTATGGCCTGTTTACTGCACTTTATATATACATATATGTAAAATGCTCAGGTTAGCATGTACCTGGTACATCCTCTTAGATTCTATTGTTATCTGCCCAGAACAGAATTTGCCACATTAACTGTACAGATTAAATGGAAACTGCCATTATCTTACAGCTCTTGCCTCCTTGGGATCAGTGATCTGGGTCAAAGGGTGGTGTGTGACCCAAGATGGGCCATTCATTCAGGCCTCTTCCCTAAAATTTTCTGAATTGGAACTAAGGCAAGGGGTAATTTCTCTTGGTTGGTGAAACTGAAATGATGAGAGTCTGGGAGCTACCGATGGCCATGTTTCTAACCCACGGAGGAAGCTGGTTTAAAAAAAAGGCTGATATTGAGAGACGGGATACAGAATTAAGTTGTAATTCCAATTATCCCCGGGGTCAAGCTATACCTCTGCCTTTCTTCTGTAATTTAATATATAAACCAATTAATTATCTTTTCTGCCTAAGCTAGTTCACATTGGAAGTATGATACTTGAAATTAACAGAGCCTTGACTAATAGATGCTGGGAAACCAAATCACCAAAGTGATTAAGATTTATAGTTTTATAAAGACTTCTTCTCTAAGGGAAACAAGATCTTTAATGCTGGGGTTTTATTAGTATTTTTTCCCTGTACTCATCATTGAATGCAATATATGAATTTCAGATAAGTGGAGTATTATTGTCTTACTGGCAACATCTCAGATATTATAGGGCCCAGTGGATCCACTCATGACATTAACTTCCCACCTGCTGAAAGTATGGGATTCAGATTTCCTAAAAGACAGTAACAGCAGCAGTAAACATATTTGGAGAAGCAAAAGGAAGGAGAAAGAAAATGCCTTCAGAGCTGTTGGTTGCAAATCCTCAATGAAAAAAGAAAAGATATTTTAGGAAAGGTATTTTTCTAAACAATGACTTGCTAATTTCTTTTGCCACTGCCATTAAGTCATTAAAGTCAGCCTTGTATATATATCCACTACTAAATGAAAGCTTTCTGGAGATCGTCACCATCTTCAAACTGAGGGTAAAAAGGATTTTATTTTATTTATTTAAGAATTTTTATAATAATTTATTTGAGTCAGAGGATAAGACTGGAAACAAGATCTCAATAGACTGAGAAAAATGCTTCCAAGAGGATTTTACTTTTAAAACTAAGATATTGATTCTTTAGGTAAATACTCTGGAGGAAGCCGAGTGGAAGCTCTTCCTAACCTGGCTGCTTTGAGATCTGTTTTGAAAGTGGGAATGAACACTCCAAACTTGGCTGTTTGGAAGTTTCCCATGAGCATTACCATTGAACTGATCTCCAGTTCCTGAGACTTTGCTAGAATAGAGGTTTTTGAAACCTGTTTTAGCTTTAGAACCCTTTCTTCAAATGAATCTTCAGCAGAAGCCCAATATTTTAAATAGAAGCCATTCAAGTTGAAGAGATGATGGGAGTGCATCGCTGAGGGCTAGGGGCTCTATCTTTACTCCTATTGCCACCTCAACACAATTAGTGGCTGCCCAGAAAACCACTGATGGTATAAACCAGCAATTTTATTTTGGACAATTCAATAGTATGAAAACATTAAAATGTACATATCTTTTTGACCTAAAAGTTTAGATGTGCATAGCAATTTATTATACAGGAATACTAGCATGAGGAATACAAAGAGGTGTGTGTGTGGGGGTGAGCGCGCGCACACACACGTGTATATACTCAAACACAAACATGGCTGTTCGCAGCGTTATTTTTAATAATGAAAAACTGGAAGCAGAATGTCAGAGGTTTGGATAAATAAATTATGGCAATTTCATGCAATGTAATAGTGTGCTTTCTAGTAAAAAAGATGTGTACTGATATGGAAAGACACAAGACATTTAGTTAAATTTTTAAAAGGTATAATCTGCACAGTATGATCTAGTTATTATTTTTAAAATTTGTAATGTTTATATAAAGAAAAAGCCTAGAAAGATATATATTACTAATAGTAAATACCTATGAGGAGACAGTAGAAGGCTTTCACTTTTACTCTATTATTTTTGAATTATATGAAAAATTTATAATAAAAATATTACTTTAAAAAAAAGAAAAGAAAAAACTACTGCTTTGCTAGGGCCTTCTTCCTGCCTCCTTGTTACCCTGTAACTGAGTCAGGTCACAGGGTACTAAGGAGCTCAGTATAGGACCATGTAGTTTTGGGGCAGTATCTATGCTCAGTCAGTTGGATTCAAGGTAGGAAGTAATTTTTTCCCCCTTTGCTTGCTATGATTTCTAATGACCTCTATCTATTTTAGTTATCTTTCCCTGTAAGTCCACTCAAATCATTATGGAAGAACACAGGAATAAAAATAAAATTTTTATTTTTTTCATTGAGAATACTCAGTTTATCTTTGCAACATTTTGTACTTGTGTTTATATATTTGTTTTGATATCCACACACTTTTTCCTATTATAAGTTGCAGAGTTGCCTGTTAAACTTATATCCTAAACCTGTTGCCTTTCAACAGATTCTTCACACACTGCTGGGCACCAAGCAATTAAGGAAACCTGTTATAGCTCCTCCGTTTTTTCTTCTGTGCCAGCAGCCATGGTTACCTTGGGAGGTAGGAGCTGACAGGTCTGAAAATCAAATGATAGTAATTCCTTTCTCTGACAAACACAGCCTTACCTGCAAGATAACGAATTGTCTCAAGCTTGTTGGATTCCATTAGTGTTTTTAAAGAAGCAATTTCAGTGTCAATTTTATTACTGGTCTCTGAAATAGTACTTTTGGTTTTGGTATCCTATAGTAAATAAGAATAAATAAGACAAAAATATTTATATTAGAAACCCCTACTTATGGGTGAATTATGTATTACAAAAGTCTTAACTGGGGAAACACAGTAAAAACTGGTATATATATAAAAAAAAACACCATTCCGCGAATATTATAAACTGACAAAAAAATATTCCTTCTACTTTGCTATTTAGAAGCCACTTCTTAGGATTATCACATTCTGGGCAAATTCTACTAAAAGCTTCAGTGAGATATATGAGACCTAAATATGTAAGAGGATAAAGAAGTAAAAAAGTTCTAAGTCACAGAACTATCACTTTATGTGTATAAAGTCCTTGGGATATCATAGTTAAAACTTGAAATATATGTAGCGAAAGAAAAAACCCAGCCAGGTTTATAATATGAACTGGCACCAATATTAAAAGAAATTGCGGAAATGCTTTTTGGGTAACATTGAATGCTATGTGTACAGAAGCTAAGAGATAGGAAGAGAGAGGGAGAAGATGGTACGTAGATCTTAGAAATTAGCTGTGAGAATTTTTTTTTTAATTAAAGTTTATCAGGGTGACAGCAGTTAGTAAAGTTTCATAGATTTCAAGTGTACAATTCTGTAATACATTATCTATGTATCACATTGCGTGCTCGCCACCCAGTGTCAGTTCTCCTTCCATCACCATATAATTGATCCCTTTTACCCTCATCTACCCTCCCCTCCCCCCTTACCCTCTGGTAACCACTAAACTATTGTCTGTGAGAATTTTTAAATTTTCTTATCTCCTTCATCTGCCAAAAAGTAAGACAATAGGATCCTCAGAAGTACAAATGGGACCTTCCCTTATATTTAATTAGAAGCAAGAAAAAGTGCTGACTCTTCTGGTAGAATGTAGACCAAATGGCTTTTAACTTTTAAGAAAAGGACTAGGCTAGCCAGAAAGATGGGTTTTACTCACGCTATAGAGATTAATGATTACACTTTAGGATTACTGAGAAGTAACCAGTAGTTTTGAGTATGGGGTTTAAAATGTAGGTTCATATCCCTGATCTACCACTTCCTAGCTGTGTGACCTTAACCTCCTCCCTGTGCCTCAGTTTTTAAATTGGTGAAGTGGGAAATAAGACTGCCTTCTTTAAAGAGGCTGATATGAGGATCAATTAATAGACAGAAGTAAAGCAAATAAAACAGTATCTGATATATAATAAGCATTCAGTAAATATTTACTATTATTTTTTGAAATTTAAAGATAATTATGTAATTGTCTCTAGGCATTTAAATACTAATTATGACCCATTGTCTTTTAAAAAATAGTTCTTTTTAATATAAAATAATTTAGTTAAAAAAAGTATGCTACCTGGAAAGCTTGATTCTGACTCAGAGGTCACAGCTCAGGTAGTACCATCCACCTGGTGGCAGCTTTCCCCCACAGTGCTGGTTAACTGTAATAGCTATGAGGCGATCAGGGATTCTATAGAGCTAGCTCTTTAAAGTTCAAATTTATAAAATAATACACATAAAAGCAGTTACACAAGGCATAAGAGTGTACAAAAGATAAATTTTTACATACTAGCTTACCTTTCTGGTAAATTCTGTGGTTGCTTCCATAAGTTTCCTTTCTTGATCTGTAAACTAAAGGATATGATGCATTAGGAGGTTAACGATAAAAAAGACTAAAAGTAATTAAAAAGGAATATGTAACCAAGTAAGTACATTTAAAAAAACATTACCATATCTGTTACTCTGCTCCTTTCTAGGTTGATGTCCAGTTTATTATCTGCTCTGATTTGACTGGTTTCATTCTTTAAAGAAAATAAANCCAGTCCAGTCACTATCCGGCTGCCTGTCTGCAGCTCACCACCGCTCAGCTGAAGGTGCTGTGTTCAATCTTAGTTGTGGGTGAGCGTAGCCCATCATCTCATGCAGCAGTGGAACAGGCAACCTTGTTAGGAGTACTGCTCTCACCAGTTGAGCCATCCTGCCACCTGTTGGCAGCTCAGCGGCAGCTCAGCTCAGGCACAGCTCACTGGCCCATGTGGGAATCAAATCAGCGACCCTGTTGCTCAGAGCTCGCACTCTTAACCAACTGAGCCACTTGGCTGGCCCATGAATTGGGTATTATTGTTCTGATTTTACAGATGGGAAAACTGAGGTTCAGAAGGCTGAAGTGCCCCATTCCAGGTCACAGAGCAAGTGAGTGGTAGAGCTCAGAATTGAGCATGCTGCACACTGTACAGAGAAGTCACCTCTGTCACTCTCCCTCCACCATATATTTTCATTGGGCACAGGGCATGAATTGTAATATCATGACTACTATTAGGAACACATGACCTCTCATTCTCTAAGAGAGAATTATATTATTATATTATTATTACTATATTATTATTATTATTTGCTCAAGAGAACAAAACATCTAGTGCAGGGGTAGCAAATAGGCATCATCTCCATGACAACTCCCTTCTATTGACTGCTCAGAAAAAAGCCTTGGATTGTGTGAGGCGCAGTAGGAAAGAATATCACTGTTGATTGGCACTGTCTGCTGTGGATGCAGGAGAGGAAAGAGACAGCTCACATGCCATTTCTAGCACACTGAGATCATATGGTTCCCTTGGGCTTTCATAATCTTGTGCTCGTCATGATTTTTCTGCCAGCACACCTTCACCCCCAACACCATTTTTGCTCACTTTCTCTTATTCCTTTTCTCCCCTGCAGGAACTGTTCTGCCCACTTAATAATAGCCTCAATTTGCTGAGCAAGCAGCATGCACTAGACACTTTGCATATGTTATTGCCAGTCCTCACAAGAATCCTGCAAGGTAGATAGAAAGAAAAACAAGATTTAGAGAGGTGAACTTGTCCAAGGGCACACTACAAGGAAGCTGGAGTGTGAACACTGAACCGCAAGAAAACCTTGCAGTTCTATGTTGGGCAATAAGTACTTCACAATCACTGTTTGCTTTGAGCCTCACAATGGCCCTGTGAAGTGGTTCTCTGGGTTTGCAGCTGAGGAAGCTTGAAGCTCAGAGAAGAGAGAGCTGCTTGCTTAGAGGCCGGATAGCCCCCGACTTCTATGACTGGCCTCTTCCTGCTGTGACCTCAGGCTATGCCAAAGGGTCTTGGACTTCACAAAGCCATCACAGATAGCTGATCTGACTACTTTGGGGAGAATTTGGGGACCCTTGATTGATTTTACTCTTTCCATCTTTACCCTGTTTTTAGCTCTTATAATCAAGGTCTTTCTTTTATTGTAGCCCCCTCTGTAATTTAAAAAATTGAATTTCTTTAAAAAAAAAACAACAACCTTGTTTTTAAAAAATTAATTTTAAACCAAATTAAATTAATTAATTTTAAGTGAATTATTTTTAAATGATTTAAAAATAATTCATTGAAATAAATTTACTTAGCATAAAATTAACCATTTTAAAGTGAACAATTCAGTAGCATTTAGTACATTCACAATGTTCTACAACCACCACCTCTATCCAGTTCCAAAATATTTCCATTACTCCAAAGTAAAACCCTTTACCTATTAAGTAGGTTTTTCTCATTCTTCACTGCTCCTAGCCTCTGTTTATCACCAGTCTGCTCTCTGTCCCTATGGATATATCTACTTAATATAAATTGATTATACAATATGTAACCTTTGTTTCTGGCTTCTTTCACTTAGCATATTTTGGAGGTTCATTAATGTTGTAGCATGTATGAGTACTTCATTACTTTTAATGGCTGAATAATATTCTGTTGTACATGTTTACTACAATTTGTTTATTCATTCATCTGTTGACAGACATTTGGGCTGTCTACCTTTTGGCAATTATGAATAGTACTGCTGTGACCATATGTGTCCATGTACTTATTTGAGTATCTGTTTTCAGTTCTTTGGGTTATATACCTAGGAGTGGAATTGCAGGGTCATATGGTAACTGTATGTGTAACTTTTTGAGGGAAGGTCCATTTCTTTTTGAAGTGGATGGGGGTGAACACTTGCTTGTGGAGACCTAGAGACCAAGGATGTCCTCTACAAATTTACAAGAACATGTGTAGGCTAGATATGTGAAAATTTGAAATGAAGAAACTGCAATCCTCCCAACTGCTACAGGCAGGAGGGCATGTTTGATAGACATGAAGAGGAGCCTGGGGTAGACGACCTCCTCATGGTGGGAGACTGCTGAAGATGGCGCTTTGCCTGGAGGTGGTGCTCTTCCCCCTAGAGGGAATAGGTGTAACACTGCTGAGCTCCAAGCAGCTGCAGAAAGGCTAGGAGGATTGTAAACCTCTTTAAGTCGGACCGTTTTGTGGATATTTGCATTGGTGTGTTAGGAATAACGGCAACTGGAACCATTACAAATATTGATATAGTGATTCTATCAGCACTCAAGTTATGAACTTGGAACTACTGGGGATCGACTGAGATTCTCAAGGCCTGCAGCCGCTAAAAGCAAATGTGTGTGATCATGGTCCCCTTGGGACTTAGAAAAGGATCCTAATGCAGAATTGGGATGACATGTGAAGAACTTCTGGACAAGAAGAGGGCAGAAACGTTTCTTTAGATGTACCTGACTGAGGGTCAAAGGGTTTCACTGTCCCTGAACATGCCTTTCTGTCCTACTGTGGTGGTGATAATTGGTTTTATGTATGCTTATGCTTAAATAATATGCATGGTAATCTATATATAGTTTAATCTCATAGGTTGAGTTTGTTTATTCTTGACTTTTGGCAGCCATGATAAGGTTCCAAACCTTGAATCATGCAGATAAGATTCTGATGTCCAGAATAGGCGGGCCAATTATGCAACTTACAGATACAAACATGATGTGATTATAGTGGGTTGTCAGAAAAGTCATGACGTATTTTATATTTATTTTTGTTGCAAAAATGCGTCATGACTTTTCCAGCAACCCAATAGCTTTTTTTCTGTATTCAAGGTCTTGATAGAGACATGATTTATGTTGCCACCTTGGTCAAATGGATGCCAAGATATCAGTAGGTTTCTGACAAGACAGCTCTTACGTTGATGGGCACATGCAAAGGCTCTAGCTCTTTTGACTTAAATTATCTAGACAATTGCCTTGGCTCAACCTAAATTTAGCAGCACAGTACAAAAGAGAAACTTTATAATTTATGGGGGTTTTTTTGGTAAGGTAGACCCTGGAAGATATTCACATCTCAATCTGAAATGTGAAACTTGTGGTCCTAGAATGTAAACAGTTTCCTCACAGAGAATTCCAACAAGGAGGAGAAAATCTTAGAACCAATCTTCCCTTTGCTAAAAAATGATCAAACTGTAATTATTGCGTTTAAGGGGTAATTGTTCCAATTATACCAGAATTGGATACTCCAACCCTCTTTCTTCTGCTGACACAAATAGAATTGCTATGAAGATGGAACAGTGCTTCCAGAACAACTTGCTTTAAGTTCATTCTTTTTATAGTGACGCTAGGGTCAGGGAAAGGTGCTGTGTGGGCAGACCCTATGGGGTGTGTTGGGGTGTCAGTCTCTGAAGCTCTTTCCTCTCCACAGTTAGGCCCTTGGATACCCACCTCCAGCCACAGACCCAGACCCCAGAATAGCACCCACATTGTCCTAAGGCTCTATGACTTGAGCCATTCTTGTTGGATCCCAGGACTTGGACAGGAGGTCTTACAGTTCTCAGACATGTTATAGGGCAGATGAAGTAGGGTGTCTGTCCTGAGATGCTTTCATGTGGGGGCAGGATAAGGACAACAGTACTTCAATAATAGGGTTCCCAGGAGGGGAAGAGAGGAAGGAAGGAAGGAAAATACCACATACTAAGCAACTACTATGATCTAAGCACAGTGCAGAGTACTTTCTCATATGCCATGTCAGTTAGGTAGCAGAATCCCAGGCAATTGAAGCACAGTGGACAGAAATGATGGGGGTACAGTGTTTGGAAGTCAGCCAGGTAAGCAGTCCTTATCTGGGAGCGCTAATGTCTTGAGCTTCTGTCTTTGGCCTTCTGTCTGAAGAAGGGAGAGTAGCAGGACCCAAAGCACCAGCCCTAAGGACCACTTGTGAGCAATTAGGGTGAACTTAGATAAAATCGTGGTAGGGTTGGTCAAGGAGATCACATGGGAGCCCAAGAATTCATTTTTCTGCCTCTAATTGTAGATTGCCATGGGAAAGGGGCAGGGCCAGGGGACTGGTGAGAAAAGAAGCAGGAGCAACACCCTGAAAACCTTGTATGTTACGCAGAGAGGTATTGACTTCCTCCTAGGACACTAGAAGGATAATGGAGCGTTTTAAGACTATGATTTCATGTGGAACTGGAATCTCACTTGAGCTGCCCAGTTGAGATGGGAAGAGTAAGATGCAGAGTAGGAAGGTTGCTGGTGGACACCATGCTACATGCTGGGGAGATAACTATCTTTGTCAGGCATTTTTTGGTTGCTAGTGACAGAAACTCACCTTGAGTACCAACGCTACGAGTATGTTGGTCGCACACACGTCTTCCTCTACAGACACAGGGTAGAACCGTTCAGATAAAGTCTGGAACAGCTGGAACAAGGGCTTGAACATGACTGGGCCTCTTGCCATCTCTCACTGTTACCCCCTTTTGTCTACCAGCTCTGCAAGGTAGTGGAGTGGTTAAGACGATGGGCTCTAGAGCCAGATGAACTTAGGCTCTGTTACTTACTCACTGTGTGATATTGAGCAAGTTACTTAACTTTTCTTTGCCTCAGTTTCCTCATTTATAAACAAGGATCATCATATTTACTTCCTAGAGTGGTGGTTGTGTTACTATACATAAAGGGCTAGCCATTGTGTTTGTTTAAGCACACAGAAGGTGGTTAAAAAGTGTTAGCTGTTAGTGCTGTTGTTTCTATTATTTGAGTATAGACTGACTTTTTCCATAGGGTAGGAAAACAGCCTCTGACAGCTCATCTAACTTTACCACTAGAGAAAGGCTGACTGAGCTTCCTCTGGTTCCAAGTTCAAACATCCAAAGGGAAAAGATTCGCAGGTCAGCTTGAATTCAATTTCATTCCTGGACCAGTCAACATGGTCAAGTAGACAAGTGCCATGATGACTTTACTTTGATCTGTGGCCCCATAGATAACTACAAGGACCACCTGGACAAGCTCTCTGGCCAGTCTAGTGGAGGAGAAGGCAGGACCCCAACTCCCCCAGGTGACGGATGCTGTGATGGAGTCTCTCCTCAAGTCCAGTGGACATTCACATTTCAGAAGCTACATACCAAGGCCTTTGGGCCCTCTGCACTTGGGGGATGCTCTTTAGCTTCATATTCTCCCACAGGATTCAGGAAAAAAGATAACAAATATTATGACCCTATTAGGCCTGATCAATAGATATAACAAAGGACTACGGAAATGCGACGCTTGGCTCCTGGGTACCTGGTCAGTTCTCTGGCCCTAAGGCCTCGAGCTCCTACCTGACAACTAGTGTCTGAGCCCTGCTTTTTAATCAGCGGTGCTTCAGTCATGCTCTCTTGGTCCTTGGCCATTATTCCTGTACAGTCTTCCTGTTCCCTTTCTTAGGGGGACTGGCCTGCATCTCCTGATGCTTTTGCTGGGATTCAGGAACTAGATTCAAATCTCTTACCACCCGCTCCTTCTCTAACAGAGTAGGCTAAAGGTGAGGATGGAAACAAGAAATGCCACTGTTCTCCGTAATCTGTAACCTCCATAAAACCTGACCGTGTCACCACCCTCTGGCTCAGTGATGCTTTCTTGGACACCAGCCTCACAGTAGCTGTGACTCAACTTCTCTCCTCAACAAAATTCCAAATTAGTATGTCTTGGACTTGTTCAAAGTGGAGAAGGTTAAAATCTGTAAATGTCAAGGGTCTACAGTACAGATATGGAACAAGTGAATCCTGTATCCAGGCATTGATTGAAGGCTTTGTGGTGCAGGTGGCACCCAGCTGAGCCAGGGAGGATGGATAGGATTTTGACAAGTCAAGTGAGCAGGATTAGAGGGAGACAGGGCAGGACACGTTTGGGGAATGGTGGAAGTTGAGATGTGCCTGAGTGTCAGGATGAATGAAGAGATTAATTAGTAAGAGCTAAGGTTGGAATGGCACAAAGCCCTCGGAATCTCCAAGACAAGCAACGTTCTTTTTTCCCCAGCAGCCACGTGCAGGAAAGCTTTTGAGTGTCCTGTGCACTGCTGTCTGCAATAAGTGGGAGCCCATATTATGAAGGAACAGGGTACAGCTCGTGGGGCATGGGTGTACTTTTGTCTTTAGGCAGCCAACCTGACTCTGGTGAGCAGTGTTGTTTGCTCATGGTAGATTTAAACATCCTTCGTCTCATAAAACGTTTCCTGGTCCCTGTTTTACTTTCTGGAAGATGCTCAGAGTACTGCTCAGTGAACACTTGGGGAACAGAGATGAACTGCCTTCCAGTGAGCATCCCAAAACATAAGCATCTTCCACCTGAAACCTTCTTGGATTCCCTATCTCTGATGGATAAATTAGTTGCCTCACCAGACTGCAAACTCTAGGAGTGTGTCGAGTAGGTCCCATTCATGTCGATAATTCCAGCATGTAGCCCAGGGACCCGAGTAGAGCCCACTCTTAATATAGCTTTGGTAAACTGACTCAGAGTGTGGGAGTTTGAGTTTGGGGATTAATTTTGGAAGGTGGAAGGTCAGGAGCAGTCTGAGAGAGTGTGAGGGGGTCAGTCAGCGTTCACAGTTAGAAATAACAGATTCTGTTCTACCTGGTTAAGCAGAAAGGGGCTTATGAAAAAGCACTTATGGCTCACAGAATTGTTGTCAGGGCCAAAGAAACAGAATCTAAATGGAGCTTCCAGAAATGACTGCCTAACATCCACTACAGGGTTGCCGCCTTTGCCAAAATCAGGAAGTTGCAGAACCAGGAAGCTGCTGCCACAACTGTTGTCTCTGAACCCAACTCTGATCTACACACACACACACACACACACACANAAAAATGTGATTTAAAAGTGAATTACTTTATTAAAAATGTCAGGCGCTCCATTAACTCTTCGATAGCTCAGAGGTTTGGGGGAATTAATTAAATGATTGGCTTTTTCTTGCATGGATTTAGTAGTCTGTTATGATTCTGAATAAATTAAGCTAAAATAATACACAAATTTATAGGTAAGTTAAATCTAGGGGTTGAATGGTTTTAATTCTAAATGTCTAATTGGAGATTATCATAAAAATGTTTAAAAAGCTTTCGGTCCTTAATGACATTTAAGGTAATGAAATTTTATGCAAGAGCTTTTAATTTTATGTAAGAAAGAAATCCTGATTTCTCTGTTGTGAAATATTTATCTGAGGGAGCCTAAATTTGAAAAATTAAAAAAATATAACAACAGGAAGAAAACAGATTCTTAAACATAGTGAATTAATTCATGATGACAGACTATGAATTATTCCACAGTTACGCTCATTGAGCTTGTTCTATCCTTTATATAAAACCATTGCTTTTTGTCCACAGCACCACAGTAACAACCCTTGCAAATTACTCAGCCTCTCTGATCATCTCTTCAGTGGCATAACAGAATAATTCTCCCTACTTTCCAAAGTTGTCAGAGGGATTAAATAATAAATGAGAAGTTCCCAACACTGTGCCTCTCCCATCTTAAGTTTTTAGTAAATGGCATTACTTGACTTAAAGGATTTGTACATCCAGTTAAATTAAAGCACCTTAGCCCGGTGATTTATGAAGTCCTTCCCAGCTTTCTAAGTTTATGAAAATTAAGTAGAATATACACATGACTGCAGTAAAATATTTTTACTATATAGAAGGGTTAGTTCTTCTCTGGTGGGCTTTCAACAGGGAAAAAGTTGTTTCACTAACAATCTACAACCAGGTCATGACTCTAATAATATAATCATTTCACACAATGAAAGAACTGACAAAATTTAGTTCTGTTACCATAATGCTGTTGTGACTATTCTAACTCCTTAATCTCTCTAGATACTGACTTTACACGAAAGGGTTTTTTGTTTGTTTTTGGTTCCTTTAGTGAGAACAAGAAGGAAGATGTGGGTGTATTTGGGAGGTGAGTGGGTAGACAGAGTTGCAGTTATAAAAAAGATTGTCTAATGAAACTGTCAAAAGTGGAAAAAATGAAAATATTACCTGTTGAGCTTGAGTGACCATCTCCTTATAGATAGTATCCAAGCTGACATTTGATAAAGTGGTTAATGTTGATACAATTGTTTCTGCTTGTGGTTTGTCAAATCCTGTAGGCAGCAAATAGGTATTTATATATTTTTAAAAGTGCACATCCTTATCAGAATAGACAGCTGGAATAACTTTCCTTATAATTTGTTACACTCTTTTAAAACAAGGTTAACAAAGTCTTGACAGATAATGAGATAATGCAAATTACTCTCTAAAGGCACTCTACTTTTTTTTTTTTTAGCTGAGCTCGGGCCGGGACTCAAACTGCTGTTGCTCAGAGCTCAAACTCTTGAGCAAGCTCTTAACCAACTGAGCCACTCAGTCGGCCCTGCACTCTACAATTTTAACTCCCACTGATCCATTTCCCCAATTTACGTCAGCACTGGATATTACTATTTTTTTTTGAATGTATAATTGTCATAAAAAAATGGTATTGCATTTTTATTTTAATTTGCATAGTCAAGCACCTTTACTGGTCATTTTTCTGTGAGCTGTTTGTTTATAGCCTTTGCCCATTTTTCTATAAAATTGCTGAAATTTCTTATTGATTCATATGAACTCTTTGTATATTAAAGCAATAGGCTTATTGTCATGTGTGAATGCTAACATTTTTAACTTTATGGGTATCCTTTGATATAAATATTTCTGTAGTCACATCTGACAATCTTCACTTTGATTGCTTTTGTGTTTTATGTTTTGCTTTCTCACTCTAAAAATGTAAAAAATTCTATTGTCTATTATTTTTGTAGTTCTTCATTCTTTACATTTAGTTTTTAATCGATCTGGAATTTATTTTTCAGTAAGGGGATCTAACATATTTTTCCCAATGGCTTGTCAGTTATCCTATCTCATTTATTAAACAGTCCTTTCCCTAATTTGTAATGCCTTCTTTATTGCTTGCTAAACCCACAGATATGTGTTTCTGAATCCCATTCTATTAATCAACTTTTCTATTCTTGTGGTATCATGATTTACATTACCATTTTGGTCTCTGGTAAGTTTTTGTGTTTTTTCTTTTTTCTTTTTTCTATTCTTAAACATTGTCCTTGAACATCCTCATGGACTTTAGTATCAACCTAGAAACTCTAGCTGTTTTTCTTTTTTACATAATTGGAATCATTCTACACATGTAATTTTAAATGCTATTTTCACTTACCACATCTTGAGCATTTCTCATAGCAGTAAATATTCTTCAAGCAATACCATTTTTATGACTGTAAAATATTCCACTCTATGGATGGCACTTATATTTAAATAGTGACTCTTTGTTTCCAATAGTGATACTGTCCTGACTAAGTAGGTGATTTATTATAAGTGTGTTAATTTTCTTCTTTCAACAAGTACCCATGTTTCTCACCATGAATTTCCAAGTTCTGAACCAATGC